CGAAATTATAACGAACGACTCAGAATCATATAGTCTCTCGACTAGAACAGGCCATACCGAATTAACAAGAGGTAAAAACGCGTCCTCATCAGGTGAGAGCGCCGGGCAAACGGTAGCCAGAAGTTCCAGGAGCGATTTTCGCAACGTTGGCGAGGGGGATGTTAGGTAATGTTGCGTTAGGTCGGTGATACGAGTGAGAATCTTGAAGGTAGCTGTTTTAGGGGGCGGCGGCTTCTCGACTTCAGTACTGGGCTCTTCGTCATCTTCATCATTCTCGGGCGCGGTTGGATTTATCTCTTTCCAGGGGCGTTCTGGATGAGGCTCGATATTTTCGCGGTGAAGTTCTTCGAGCCGCCGCTTTTCTTTTCTTTCTATCCGGCTAGAGAGAATATCGTACATGTCTTCAGTCGTGACCATGGCTTGTAAAGTCTTCTTGCGATCTTTCGCTGACGATTTCACTGCATCTAAAAGTAAATGGTCGGAGTGTGACCCTTGCTGTACTATTTCTGTAAGGACGCTGAACAAGCTCTCCGCAAATAAAGGGTATCCGTGATAGTTGTCGAGAGCCGCGAAGATCGATGCGATCACATCGTCGAGATACGGTATCAATTTTGGACCGGTAAGCCTTATCATCATTCGTAAGACCTGAGTTGATGTAGGGGATATATCAAACGTGTTCAAACGTAGGGATACCGAGTTAACCATGTAGTCAACATTCTCGATGATTAGGTCAGTGACATTAGAATATCCGCACGTCGTTGCAATGCTGTTGAGACTGATGATCGCATGATCCCGTAATTTAGGCACCCCGGAACCTAGAAATGTCGTGATAGGGTACAATACATCAATAAGCTCCGGACGAAAGCTTTCTTTCATCCTCGAAGCGGCAAAAGTCGTAACTTCTAAAGCGAGAGCTTGTAGTCGCCAGTCGACCTCTTCTGCCTCGGCTTGGGAATCTAGGACTGCAACGGAGAAAGAGTAGAGCTCTTGGAAAATCGGTTCACTCTCGTCCGTTATACCAGTTGCTGGGCTCAAATCAAGGAAATCATCTAAACCCGAGGACTGAGATAAGCTCGACTTGACCAGCTCAAAGGCTAACCAATACGAGACAACTTGACTGGGCCCCGTAGAATCTCGGACGTAGGTCAATAGATCGTTAGCTAATTTGCCTTGCTGAGATACAGATCCGACTTTCGATAGCAAGTCAAGGAGCGCTGTTCGTGTAGACTTCCCAGTGTCTTCTGAGATCAGGATAGGTGGAAAGGTATTAGGACCATCCTGTCTAACCACATCCATGTTCAACTCGATAGTATTCGATGGAAGCTCCGACATCCCGCTTGATTTCGATGCTAGTACGAGTGCAGTGGTACTATCCCTTAAGGAGGCGGCTAGCGAGTCGTCTAGGATGGATGAGTCAATCTGAAGAGTTGTGATAAAGTGCTGGCCTTTTATGAGGTTTCGGATCGCTTGTTGTTTAACCTTATCATCGCTGGATTGCACTATCCGAGGAAGACTTGTAACCCAGTTGTATACTGTAGTCTTGATTGTGTCTCCGAGTTCTGGGTAGATCCTAGCTAGGTCAGCTAGGCTTGTCTCGAATACTGATTTCTCTTTTTCTTCATTTGCTAATATCATAGCACTCTCGACAAGTATGGATACGCATTCCACAAGAGATTCGTGGCACTCGTCTAGAAGGGTGATGCACAGCCTCTCCAGGGCAACCCGTATGTCGTCGGAATCGGCATTCCGTAACTTTAGCACACTTGCAAGAGCAAGCTTCACCTTCGACGTAGTCGCCTTCAACCATGATGGCGATAGAACCTTACCCTCGCTGGTGTTTTCACCTTCATGTCTCGCTTGCTTCTTCATTATCCCCATGATTTTCATATCTCCTAAAACCCTAGTAAGTACGTCCTTTGTGGCATTGATACCGCCAATTAAGACTCTCCTCTGGTGTTTATATGCCACAGGAGGTGTAAGTAGCCTGCTGAGAGATGATACTATTCCAGGTAGAAAAGTAGCTAAGGCGGTTTGATCCCTGATTGCGACTAGAAGCGCATTTAGTGCTCCCAGCCCCTCAAGTCTAATATCGGACGTTTTGCCATCCGTAATACTATCTAGTATAACGGTGATAGTATGGCCCAAGGCAGGTATCGCATCCGTATCTACCAGTGCGGCCGCCCCGGTTAATGAGGAACCAGCAGCTTTGATCAACTCCGTCAATGCCCTCAGTGCTTCCAACTCTGTCTCCTCTGGAATCTCGTTTTTCTTCTCCTGGCCGGGAACACCACCAATGATGAAAGTAAGAAATATGAAGAGCTGCCGAGAAAGCTCATTGGGAACCTTGGATTTCCATCCATAATGAATTAATATTCGCAGGCATTTAATGGTTAGCTCTGTCAGTCGGATAGGATATTGCTGTTGATTTCGTAAAATGTTGGATAGTGGGAAAAAGATATAATCAGCAAGCTTCTCATCCAAAACAGTCCCATCGACAGAAGTCTGACGATCTAGGACGGTAGAGAGGTCTTCAACCACGTTAAGTAAGTCCTTAGCACTCGCTCTCTTGTCGGATACACGGACGGTTAAATTATTGATGGCGACGCATCGTGGTTTGAGCTGTCCTAAGATTAATAATGCACTTCCATTACCAACGGCGCATTTAACGAGGGATCATCAAACCTCTTTGAAAAATTCATTCCTAGTGGCGGAAGAGTTATTAGCCATCTTAAGATATGTTCGTCATTTTCATCATAAGTTTAGCGCTTGCTACAGAATGATGTGATGAGTTCGATGTTGTACTAGTTATAGAAATTGGTTGATGTATTTTTGTTTGAAATAATTGCAGGATATTGACTGGCGAGAAAGTACGGATTACCTCCTAATATTATGCTTCTATCCGGTTTCATATTATGCATTATGAATTATGCATTTAGACATATCCCCGCAGGTGACTTCAACGATGAAGAATTCTAGGTTACGCATCAATGAATTAATAAGTGTTCATCTCAACCTCAAGTTTTAAACTTCTGAAATTTCAAGTCTTCTGAGTAAATATAAAATATTGAATATTGAATCCGATCAGCTGAAGGGGAAGAAGATGGCGCCGCCGGGAACCTTCACTACGACGGTGCACCCTTTCGAATCCCCAACAGCCCACGCCTGTGCTTATGAAGTCGGCCTCACAAACGCAAGAAATGCTCTCGTGTTCGTCGGTGGGCTTGGTGATGGACCTCACACAGTGCCGTATCCCCGGGCGATAGCTAAACGTCTAGAATCGGAACTTAACCTAAGCTATTCTGTCTTTGAATTCAGGCTGTCAAGTTCTTTCTTGGGCTTTGGCTTTGGTCGTCTAGCTAACGATGTAGCTGATATATCGGCTCTCGTCAAGTATCTGCGGAGTATAGGAAAGAAACATATAGTCTTATTAGGCCATTCCACTGGAAGCCAAGATTTAATGGAGTATACATCGCCATCCCATAATGCCGCGCCGGTTGAAGGGTACATTCTTCAGGCACCAGTATCGGATCGCGGCGCGATAGCGTCGGAGATGGGTGAATCTCAACTAGAGGAAAGCCTCAAGATTGCTAAACAGCTCATCGCTTCTGGTAGGGGTCATGAGCGTATGCTGCCTGAAAATCTCTCATCTTCCTTCCACGATACGCCGATATCTGCGTCGCGGTGGTATGCGCTTGGGGCAGCCGAGTACGTAATTTACTTAATTTGTTACTCGACGTTCAACTCTTTATGACTTGTATACCTGACTGCTTGATAGCGGCGAAGACAACTACTTTGATCCCGGGCTCCCAGAGGACATAGCTGGGCCTTACTGGAAGCGAGTAGATAAGCCAATCCTTGTACTTCACTCAGGGCACGATGAATATGTGCCCAGCTCCATCGATAAAGACGCGCTTGTTCAGCATTGGAGAACACTTTGCCGACCAGGCATCGCGAGTGAGCTATCGGGTACGATCCCGGGCGCCGGCCATAGGGTAGAGGAACCGGAGGCAGAAGAATGGCTCGTCAACACGGTTGTTGAATTTCTGCAAAACATTACATAAATGAGATTTATGGTAACAAGAGTTCGGATAGCTCATTCTCATCATGATTACTTTCCGGCATCGAGAAATAGAAAGGAAAATTGAGTTATCGGATGATGATGATTATACGAATCTGAATCAAATTTGACCTGCCGCGCTTGCTACTTCGAGGTCGGCGATCACACAAAGTTCGGACACATCCCTTAGATTGTCATCGCCGAATACCTCGGGTGAGCACCAGTAGGGCGTACTAAAAGCGCTGCTACAAATTATAATACCTGACCTTCCCCTCTTCCAATCATTTCCCAAATCCGATCATTTTCAATTCCATAGGTAGCAAACACGGAAATTCAACATAGTCAGCATTTCACTACTCGCAGCTAGTCTATCAATATGTGTTTCGGCGCAACATGTCCAACCTGCTGTTCGTTATTTCTCAATATACTCGAATCACAGCTTTACTTGCGAATTTAGTGTTGTTAAATTCGACTTATTAATGCTATCGTAGCAGGAAAATCTTGGCGGGGATGCGGTTCGCATATCCCGTCGGCTCTTGCGGGGGTCCCGGAGAAGCAATGGTGCACTTGTCAGCCGCAAGTCACGGTCGACGGAAAACCCTACCCTCCGTCGGCAAAGATGGCGATTCCCGGCCTGTCTTGGCTTGGTAGCATATTCGGAGGCGGAGGTGGGCGGAGTACCGGCGGTACGGATACAAAGGGCAAAGGGGAGCTTTGACTTGGGTATTACCTACCTGATTTCGAAATGCGGCTATCGAAGCTTATTGCTCCGCTCCTCGCAACTTGGCTTCTCCTCTCTTTACCAATGCCCCCCTCCCCTCTCCCTTCTCCCCTCTCTTAATCATCATGTCAACCCCACAGATAAGTAGCCCGATCTAGGTCCATGAGGTAACCTTATTACGTACCTACGTACTTGATAAAGGATATCAGCTCGAACTATCAAGCCTCATTTTAATTTATTTTAATTTATTTTAATTTATTTTAATTTATTTTAATTTATTTTAATTTATTTTAATTTATTTTAATTTGTTGGAGAACGTATGGCGAGCTATATTTCCTGTCTGCTTATACCTGGACCCGGCTTAGTTATATCCATTTAACCTAGGACTTATCTCTATATACCTACACTCGTATTGCTAAAGGGGTAGTCCAAGGTATCGTTCAAAAATGTTACTCCTTAACCCCTTCCTACTAGCTGTCGCGTGCTTTGCATCGAGCGTCTTATATGTCTGGAAATGTATCGCTTCTCCTCTAGGAACTCTTCCTGGTCCAGGGATCTCATTATTCAGCTCATGGATTCTTAAGTATCATGAATTACATGCCCATCGCACGAGATATGTCCATAGCCTTCACCAGAAATATGGTCCCGTTGTCCGGATAGCCCCGAATGAAGTGTCATTTGCGTCTCTCGAAGGCGTGAAGGAGATTTACGGTTCAGGTGGAAGCGGCTATGATAAGACGGAGTTTTATAATCTCTTTGCAATACATGGTCGAAGGTAAGACACGGCGTTGAGTAAGAATATAAACTAGTTGAGGACTCCTAGGTTATATATTTTAATGGACATACAAGCTTACAAAAGATCGCACAGGACTATGTTTAGTACCCTAAGAAGGGAGGATGTTAGTCCCCCAATCAACCACTCGATCGATAAAAAATTCAAATCCTAATGGATGTTCAGCACGCTAGGAGAAAAAGAATCCTTGCAGGCCGATACGCCAATACTAATATCCTGAAATCGGAGTCGCTCCACGGGATCAGAGAACGGTCAAACCGATTCGTTGAGAGGTGCTCAAGGTTTGCCGGTGGAAGTATCGACATATTTGTAAGTGAATTTGGACAGATGCTAATAAATGGCATGCTAATTGGTAGTTAGATTTGTATGCCGATATTTGTTAACTCTCACTCTCAGGGGGCTCACTAATGAGGCAAATTAGGTCTGCACGACTATGCGTTTGATTGCGTGACACATCATCTTTTCCACCCTTACGGATCGAATTCGCTCCAGAATCCAAAAGATGAGGAAATTATGAAACAGGTGACTTTTGATGACAGCCTTCAGAGTCAGTCTCATCCCAAGCCCTTATACACCTCTGGTTGTGCTAATAGAAAGTAGATCGTCTAGTCGAGTACTATAACCCAGGCCTGCACAAGATATTCGGCAATGTTCTATCTTTGTTTGTCAAGCCGCGTCAGACACCCCTGGCAGATGAGTTGGTCATGTCCGCGAGCGCGAAGACCAGTCCTGCGCAGTTTACTCTGCTGAGTCGTATGCAGGACAAGAATTATGAGATGAAGCACATTGACATGGCAGCCGAGTGTTTCGATCACATGGCTGCGGGAATAGATACCACTGGCGATGCTTTATGTTTCCTGATGTGGGAAATCTCACAACCTAGATCATTCTATGTCCAGCGGCGTCTCCAAGAAGAGCTCCGTGCTAATCCCGAAGTGGCGTTTGATAAACTACCTTACCTCGACGCCGTCGTCATGGAGGGACTTCGTTGCTTCCCGGCAATTCCCATGTCCCTCCCGCGATACGTCCCTTCTGGCGGCCGTACCATCGATGGGTATTATATCCCCGAGGGAACAATAGTGAGTTGCCAGGCGTACTCTACTCACCGCATCGACGAAACTGTATTTCCGCAGCCCGACACATTTGATCCGGATCGCTGGCTACAGGAGATAGGAGAGCTGGAGAGAAAACGACTATTCTTCGCTTTTGCTAGTGGCGGTAGAGGCTGCATCGGAAAGCAGTAAGTCACAACCGACTTTGATTTTTAAAGAATATTAAAAACTACTAACGTCGATAAATAGTTTGGCGCTCGCCGAGATGAAGACCCTGCTGAGAGACGTTTACTCGCGGTTTACTACTGTGCCCGACCCGTCTATGACTGCCGAGGATATGGAGATGTCTGATCAATTAATCTCTTCACAACCCCGTGGGAAGAGATGTCTTTTGACGCTTATCCCTCTAGGGGATGGGGTCTAAGGAGGTTGGGTATAGGTCAGTGAGAATGTAAATATTTGTATGTCGACTGTATTCAAAGTCTGTATGCAATGTACCCAACGAAATTGATACGTTGGTCGATGCGTTAGCCCCGTTCCTATCCTACCCCGGATGTGTACGTGGTGAGTGCGTCGTACGATATCATGTGCCATCAAAGACTAAGTTTAGCTCCGAGTCGCGCAAGGGGTTTTATGACGGTTCAAACAGAGATTATTATTGTGGTTAGATCTCATGGTAGGGAGGTATTCGTCGACGTGTCTTTCACTGCGCTTAACTCGGCCAGGGATATTATATCAGTGCTTTTTCAATCTATAACATAAGTATAGGCCTCAAGCCTCTACATACAATGTATGTAAAGCATGATCCCTTGCCAAGCCTGACTCGTACGAGGGCTAGAACCCAACAGGAGAGGCCTTGGTTACATACATCGATATGTATAAATGAACTCATCATATGATGGGACGAAGCCTGCCATATTACTACAGTGGAGAAAATACATCCCTCTTTCCTACCCCAGTATGTAGCTCACCTCCCGCCGGGCTGATTTATTTGCGAAGCGAGGAGGAGTTTGCCGACGCGTCCCTAACTTGAGGGGGCTTGAGAGCACGGATGAATCTAAGAGCGGTATCTGGATAGCTTTAAGATAGCCGGGGAAAAGTAAGTCTGGACAGGTAAGCTTAGATGGAACATCAAAGCATTCTGTATGTAGGTATACGGTTTGATCACTAAAATAATGTTAGCCTACGGATCGTTCGACTGCACACAACATGATCTACAAAACTTACTCCTTCAATATTTTAAAAGTGATGACCCAGGCATTGTAAGAGAGGATTTGGATATACCTGAGACTATGTTACCTTTATCGTGATAACTAAATTAAATTACCAATTACCAAAATATATTATGAAACTTGTGTGACGAGAATCATTAATCCCTGGTGAACTCTAGGCCATTATACTCTACTTGGGCACGGTGATGATGATTGCCATGGCCCGACCCGATGGTTTGGAACTCGTTTGGAACTCATTTGGATAGACCTGTGGAGAGGGGCTTATTTGTGTCACAGATATATGGATTCTGATAATACTTTGCTAAACAAGGCTATCGATGCTGCTGTCTTAAGACACTAGCACCGAAGGTTTCGAAAATATATTGATATGTTTATGATGAAATACAATGCGAAGAAATATAAGGTAATATGCAAGATAATTTAGGTACATCATCAAGTCTTGTCATAGGGCATTTCGACGACTAATGGATAATTTGCAACCTTGCAAGGCGCTTAGGCACATGTGAAAGAAATGGCATAAAGGTAGCATTCAGCTATCGTAGTACTGTTCTAATAAATTCATCAACTAAGGAATTCGTGAAAAAATAGGTTACGTATTTACATTTATAAACATGGTAAGTAATTTCTTATCTATATACAAACACCTATGTATTTCTTAGTAGTAACTGTGAAGGTGAAGGTTTACACGCGATCTGCCAAGCTTGATACTATTATCCCGTAGGGCAAGACTCTGCGAGAAAGGCGATGTTTTTGATTAGGTATTAAGCAAAAAGGGATGTGGCATTGGAGGACGGCGACTAACAAGGGGCCCTATATGCATTCCTCTGTAAACAATCCCCGGGGATATGGTATCTTGCGTACCTTTATGCTACATTACATACTCTAAGATCGGTCTATGCAGCTGTATGCAACCCTCAGACGAGGCCACGGACTCTCGTCCAGCCACGGGACTGGGTATGTTGCATATGTTGGGGCTTATGTTTCTCCTTGACAGGCCTTGGCGGACCCTGCAACTGAACGAGCTAAGTCGATTACCGGCTATTGAAGACGTGCAGTTTCCTGTGTGTCTAACAGTGTTGATCTTCCACATGGGTTGATGCTTACAGGCAGCGTGGGGGTCGGAAATGTAGGAAGGGAGATCGGGGATAATGTACGGATGAAATATGGATGGATGGAGTAAGTAATCCATACATGCATACCTATCCCATGCATATGGTGATCTAGATTAAGTACGGGACCAGGATGGCGAGTATTGGTGCAAGCGAAGGAGAGAGCATGGACGGCACTAGCGCTTGTCACCTCGAACTGTGAAAAGAAAACAGGGGGTTTCCTTTGGGAACACCCGAATCTAGCGGATATGTACAATACATACGTTTAACCCTGAGCTGACTTCTTACGTGTTCTAGAAAGAAAAATCCTATTCAGTAAAGGGCAAGTCCAGAGCCGATAGGAATCGGCAACAAATAGACCCAACCCAAAGGGAGCTCCGGACTCTTCTTTGCTCTTTGTGGCACATAACCTGGTCTTCGGGACTAGCAGGCCAACGACCCTCCATCGCAAAGCGATGTATTTACGAATGTAATGTCACGTCACGATATCCCGGTCCAACGACAGCCTCGTGGCGAAGACGAATCAGTATGTATGTATGGAGTAACAAGAAGAAAACAACGTCGTTTGCTCTCCCCTTTTGTAAGTATATTCTGCCTAAAACTTCCTTTGCCGCCAAACTCTGCTGATTATGACGTTAGGACGAAGACGAAAAGCATAAGGGTGCAAAGAGATTTCCTATCCAGGTACCGACTCCGCAGTTAGATCTGGTTAGTCTAACGCAAGCCCGCAGATAATCAAAGCTCCATAGGTATGTATGTATACTATCCGGCAAAGTACTACTGGCATAGCATAGATCTATACATATGCGAGTCGGCGTCAAAGCAACCTACCATATAGCGGCTCGATCCAGGCCAGGCGCAACACTGACGTATAACCCCGAAAGAGAAGGCTGCGCGTTGTGGGAGAAGAGAAACGAGAAAAGAGATGACGATCCCCCCCTGCTCTTATGAGATATGACCTGTAAGATATCGGTATAAGGAGATTCATACCACCGATCCTTACTTTTTACTATGTTATGCATCATCTACTGCCGGTCCTGCGTTATCTTGCGTTACGTGTGAGTAATCCTTTTTTGAGACTGGACCGATTTCCTCATAACTACATTATCATCTACCTGGTAGTTAATAGCGTGGGCTTGAATTGCCTTTTGGATGTATGACTACGGTAGGTATCTAACCTTACCTATGTACGAAATCTCTTTTTTTTTTTCCCTCTCACCGCTCGTCGTTTGGGAATACCTTGACCATGTTTTATAGTCTTGGCATACACTTTTTACCTGGGTCTGGTGGACACATTGAGCAACAATCCCGGATTGGTTCGGTGTCGGTTCTTATGTAGGTATGCAACATTGTACACTACCTATCAGATGGTACAATTCAGGTCAGGGGCTTTAGTTTTTTCGTCGGATCAGCGGGTCAGCGGTCTCTCTCTTTTTTTCGTGTCACTTTTCAGATATCTATTATAGATTTGGAGATCCAGAAGAGACAGCTTCGGGTTTGTGTGCGTACCGTACATATGCACATGCACTATTATAACGTAATTTAGCCGCGTATTGTGCATTTTTTGGTACTGGCTCAGATCAAATTTGTATATTATAAAAGAGATCTCTTAAAACTTTAGTTATTTGATAATGATGCATTACTTACCATATTATTTACCTAGCAGCCTAGGTGCCAGGTGCCTAAAGTATGTAAGAAAGAGGTAGACTACATGTTACGGATCCGTACTTTTACATCCAACAACAAAGCGGGACGGGCCTTTACCCGTGTGAGTGGAACCTGAGGATATAGATGCCTATTATAGCTAAGCTGTCCGTTTATGGCATCCAATTATTCTTACCATCGTTGCTGTTGGAGGACAAAATAGTCTGCAGATTTGCCTAGCTGCATCTACTAGCTGTCAAAGAACATATTAGCATATTAGCCTACCCATGCTAACCCGGAACATGGTTGACACCGTAGGAAGTAAGCACTTAAATCATTTTGGATGCTGAGTTCTACGCCGGTCGAATCAAAATCTGTTGGGCTCGGCTACATAGAACATGGTCTTGCTTGCTACGTCTCAATACGGAAGGGGAACCAAATCTGAAGTCTGAACATAGTATAGCGTACAAGTATTACTTTAAGTGCTCACTCGTGTCAATTACATCCTAGCAAGAAATATCTAAACGTCAACTCGTGCATCACACGTCCCAAGCTGCCAGGTAGGTTCCTCCGACTTAACCGGAACTTGTCTAAAATAGAGCACAAAACAATTTACCAAACGAGCCAGCCCAGCCTCGGTACCGCTTACCAAGCTGAGTCGTCCATTTTTGCCCTCTTCCGTTCTCCCCTCTGCTCGCCCGTCGATTCAGAATATCAGTACAACACAAATAAGAAAGCAAATGAGAGTAAAGGGTAGGATAACCTCCGCTATGGACTAGCTATACGTAGAAACACACACAAACACAAAAAAGAATAAAACCCAATCATCGTGACGACATAATCTCAGCTCAAAAGAGAATTGTAGTAACACGGGAACAAAACAGACAATTGCCACCGTCTCTTGTACTAGGGTATAATAACCCTTACTTGCTTCACCATGCGATCAAAGTCCAGGTCTTGCGGGTGAAACGTGCAAATATAAAAGAACCGCCCCGTTAGCTCCCCCTTCCGACTCGTGTAAACCGCACGCCGCCCAAGCTATGCAATGAGACGTAGCCAACTCGTATGTTTATGATATAGTAGTCCATGAGAAAACATCGAAGCCGCCCTTTGGAGTAGTTTCTCTCCGTTGATTGGTTGCCGCACCTTGATGCTTGATACTTCACCATTGCCGGCCCATGTTCTCGTTCCATCGGTAGTTTCGTGTTATCGCATGACGCTCGCAGAATAGGTATCGACGGTACAAATGTGGCAAGGACTGGCCAAGCTTGAAGCACAAACAAAATAAATATATGCAAACTGTTAGACTGGTCACGTCGAGGCTCTCTGCAAAATTGAAAGACAAATTGCCCCCGCCTCATACGCGTATGCGAGGAGGACAATTTAATGGCGGTTTATGGTAATATAGTAACTGCCGCCCCTAATTAAAATGAATCGATATTCAACAAGGACGCCAGAGCGCTTAAGATGCATAGCATCCGGCCTCTGTCGTCCTAGAAGGCTACTCTGTATTGAGTCTCGAGACAGCCAGTCAACGATTCACGTTGACTTAATGCCAAGACCCCCAGCTCTCAAGCCAAGGTGAACAACTAACCCATCGAGGGCTACGCCGCACGTATGCAGGTGTTCGCAAAACATATACAGTTAATGAGTTGCCTTAAGCTGGGGCTCGGACGTTAGATAAACTCTTTAGTATGACGAAGACAGCCGCCAACACAGCTAGTTGACAAGACTATAGGTCCCCGTCGACCGCCGGCGGGGACCTATTGTGTAGGGTGCCGAGGAAGAGTATCGCCCTTTGTACCTGGCCCCGGAAGAGATCCTGGCTCGTGAGGCATGTAATTGGGAAAAGTAGGTTGAGGCAATGAACGAATCATCCCGTCGTGTTGCGTATTATGGCTCACTCTTGGTAGGCTGTCGAATGATGTGCCCATGTACTGTTGGCTTTGAGCCATCGGAACTCCCGTGTGGCCGACAAAAGGTTGATGCGCGTTGCTAGGCTGCTGTGGGAAAGTATAAGCCGATGGATTACTAGGTGCCGCAGAACCGGTTTGCCACGGTTGTTGATACATCGTCGGAGTTGCCGGGCTCGCGTATTCCGATGGCGTTGTGAACATGGACGATCTTCTGCTTGAATCGTGCGGACCGGTGTACATATCGTGGAGGCCTAAGTTCGCAGAGGGATGGAGCGGAGCTTGACTGGGCATACTAGGCGCTTCCACAAAATTCTGCCGCTCGGTACCTATTTCAGCGCCTAATACTGGCTGGGGGTATTGAGTACCGCGAACTGGCATCTCCCCTACGAATGCATCACCGGATATTTGGGTCGCGGGGCTTTGCTCGGTGCTATGTGATTGAGCCATGAGCGTCTGTGGCATATTTGCTCTTTGCGGGGATGAGCTGGAGGAATTGGGAGCTGGATTGTGTTCGCCCTCATCTCTCCCAGGTGTTACATCCTCGGTGTCCGATACATACCCCTGACTGAGACGGTCGTTGGGCATCACGTAGACGACGGTCGAACCATCTATAATCATGATTAGCACCGACTTAATAATATACAACAACCGACTTTGGACTGCTTACCAATTTGGCCATCTTTATATCGTTCCTCGAGATGAGCAACCTTGAAGATTTCCTTCAAGTAAGGCTTCTTTTGCAGGTTGCTAGGGTTGTCCTTGTCGGTGAAGAATGACGATAAGGCTTCATTAGTGACCTCCTCTAGCTTACTCACATTGAGATAAAGCTTTTGGATACTTGGATGTTGCGCGTGATTCGGCTCGATTATCATCCGAAGAATATGGTTGAGGAGGTGAACCCGTTCTAAGATTATTGGTCAGTATAAGTACGGTTGACCGGTTTGTAACCGTCTTACCGCGTTTGTACAGATGGTCAGGCTCCTTGTGCCTAACCTTGTGGTCTCGATTTGGCCCCCAAGGCTTTGGCCACCAATCAGGTGCTTTTTCATCTGCGCCTGTGTAAGGGTGCGTGGACTGCTTCTTTGGCTCGACCGCCTTCACCCAAGCTTTGGCAAGTAATTTGCATGCGCTTTGCTGAATAGTCTTGAACCGTTCTTCATAGAATGCCCAAACGGCCTTGTCATCGCGGATTGTAATTCCTCTTTTTGAGGGACTTGATGACGCTGTAGGTTCGTCGTCATAGTTCTCGGGCTCGCGCCGTATCATGCTTGCCCTTGGGCGTTTGCGAGCCTTGTAGTTTCCATCGTCTTCGAAACTCGTTAAACTTATAGGCTGTCCATATCGACGCTCCTGTGCCCAACGCCTACCCGGGTCCATGGGGTACCGATTAATTTCTGGTTCGAAACCAGATTCTGACTCGGTATATGCAGGGTTCGAAGCTGAACCGGCAAGTCTTAGTTGAGCGCGTTTGAAAGGTCTGATTGAAATTAGACTTACCGGACTGAAGACGCTGTAGTTCGCGACTGAGCGCTTCAACATCCAAGAACCTTGTTATATTTATCCCTGGTATATTAGGCGCTGTGAAGATGGCGGGCTTCCCTTCTATGACGGGTATAACCACATAGAACTCGGCTGGGATATTGCAGCACTCGCGTAAAGCTTTGTCGATAGCCTATACTATGCTCAATACTACATACTCAAGAGAATGGAACTATCTCACTCACCATAGGAGGTCGCCGTATGTCTTGCGGGTCTGTAAAGCGGCCCTCGTCGGGGACTGGTTCCATGGGAAATCTATCCTGATAGGGCCAATAGGCTGTTCGAGACGACGGGAAGTGCTCCCTCGGTTGGTTGGCGTCTTGCACCATGGTCGAAGAGAGTAAGAAGTAGACGAGACTCGATTTTAGCTATTCACAGTAGAGATTATATTTCACAATCTCGGTTTTACAGTGGGTGCTGCCAACTTTGCAGAGCCTCCACTACTGACAACGTCAGTTTGTCACATGCAATTCTCGTCTCCAAGGTCCGGTCAGATCCTTTCGACAACGTCGCCGATTCCCGACTTAAATGCGGTGTCGAAGTATGTCTCACAAATGGGAGCGGTAAGACGAGACTGGATTTGGTAACGATGATGAAAAAATGAAGACACCGGTTGAGTGCAGTCGATGGAGGATTGTCCGTCAGAGCTAGTATATGTTGTGACAAGGCAAGAAGAGATGGAGCGCGTGCCTGATATATGTGCAAGGGTGTAGTTAGACAAGAAGTTGTGACGAGATAAGAGTGTAGTACATTCGTATTGGCAGACTCAAACGGGCTTAAGAAGAGTTGGAGTAAACTGTCGATATGGAGAAGCTGGCCAGAAAGCCAAAGCGCACGTCGAGGGCTGAGTCTCAGACGGGATAGTCTTTCTTTGTTTTAGAAACGGCAGCGGGAGCTTGCTTCCAAAAGAGGTTGGCAGGTCGGGGCGGACGGGATATCAAATAAATGTGCTATTGGACTTTGATGCAGAAACCTGGTGAGCGGCTGCGAACTAGGCCGAGCTGAGCATGGGTCAAGTGGCCAACAACAAAGAAAGGCAATGCCGTAGCGTCAGAACTGAACAGCCTTGCGTATTCAGTTTAATGAGCTGAGCAGGCCCGTCCTAGATTCAAACGGGATCGTCAACTAGTCGCAAAGGTTACGCGTAAAGGACGGTGGATGTCCTCTTTCACTTTTACAAAGTTGTGAGACATCGAGTAGTGAGGCCACTTCACTTGCTCGTAAGTATGCTTCGTCTTGGGTTCCGAAGCTGTCTCAGAATCAGCGAGAAGTCGTCGTGAGGGTGTAAGTTCAGCTTAATATAAGAAAAATATTAGTATTTGCAGCTGGATATCATATTCATCCGTTCCTTTTCGAGCCGCAAAGCCGGACGCACTGTGAAGACAATCGTATTAAATAGGCATTTACCAACCAATTTAGAGGGAGCCCATTGAGCGCTATGGACCAAGGTGAAAAGTGGCTAACTAGCTGAAGCTGGACGTCAGGTCACCACGAATGCCGGCAGTCTAATGCGAGGGATAAGTGATGCGGCGGAGTTCAAAGGCTCGTAAAACCATGTGGTTCCCACACAGCTCATGCGGCAAGCAGCAGTGGTCCTCGGAGGGGGGGATAAGCAACAGCAACAACAAAAAAAGAGCTGGCTCTCAAACGATTGCGATGGGGGGGTCTGTAGACTGGGTGCTCGCACAGAAAACAGATTGCGGCGGCGGGTTTCTTCCGCTATTTGTTAAGCTGATCAGGTCCCTTCCTCGTTAATAAGCTATGGCGAAATTGGAGAAGAAGGAAAGGGATCTAGACGACGGCGAGAGGTGAGGCCAGTGGAGAAAATGCTGCATGTAGTAGTCGTAGTCTCGTAGGGCGAAGGGAAAATGAAAAAAATAAAAAATAAAAAATAGACCAAACACAAAGATGGCAAGGATCACGAAGCAGAATTCACGAACCCCCTGCCCCTCGTTTCTACGATAAGCTTGGGTGTTAAGACACGAGCAAGGACTAAATTCTTCTCTTGGTTTGCGGGTGTGTACGAAAGGGTATGTACAGATGTGCGTATGCAGCGGGGAGAAGAAGGTATGGGTATGGATATGGGCTTGCGGGTTTGTGAGGTAAGTAGATTTACCTTAGGTAGTAATGAGGTCGTGTGGGTTTTTTCTTGCGAGGGGTCCTGCTGTCAAGGGGGCGGACAGGCAAGGAAAGCTCTTTGAGCAAGCTATGATATCCCCAAGGCCCGAATGTGTTTAGAGCAGGGGGCTTTAATGGATTATGGATGGCGGCATTATTGAGGCCTTGTACAGTACAATACATGGATTGACGTGCCCAACCAATACGATGCTCTCTTGGTAGCAGTGGGGGAAGAAAGCCAAGTACATACGGAATAGACAGGCGACAGGGCTAGATAGCGTTGCCTTTTGCCTTCGCAATTGTTAGCAGGTACATACACTACATACCTACCTACATACCTACCTACCTATATACAACCTATACCAGGGCCATACCAGGTAGGTAATGGATGTTTACATATGTACGTTGACGTTTGTATACGGGAGATTGCCGAAAGAATCGGGACTTAAGATTATAGTTATTTTTGCAATGTACACACATTGCGCGCACGTTTTTTTCAAGAGATATACATAGCATTTACATAGGATCTACATAGTATCTACCTAACATAATATCTCATTGTCGAATTCAGCAGAAACAACTTCAAACAGGGAAACGGCTTGAACGCTCCTTAATAAGCACACTTTATTTAGCCAAGGCGTTTATTAACCGCCGTTACCTTGTAAGTTGGGCGTTCTTCCATTTCCATCTTTCAGCAAAGCGTCTAGATACCTACATACGGAATATGTTCCGGATAGAATGGCAAAAGAAGAAGATGCCAATGTAGAAAAACCCCAAGTAGTTCAAGCAAGAAGACCAAACTGGAGAAAGAGAAGCATGTGGAGAAGTAGAGACCAGAACAGTGGGTTGAGTGATCACGGTCTGATGACTCTGCATAACGTGTGGGAGTAACCCCTGCGAAGTGACAAGGGGTAATGGAATAGAATTGGTTGCCCTTAGCTTATTAGCGGGAGGAGTGGATTTAAGTGGCCCTGTAAAGTAGACTTATAAGACTTGGGAATGGTTTCGGGGCGGTGCGTAGTGGAGCTTTATGGGGCGACCCGAATAGCCCGGCGGCGGGAGGGATTTGCTAGGGGAAAGCCTCCCGAACCCTGGGTATTTGATTTACGCGTCATTTCCCGAAAAATAAAGAAACTACTACGTAAACAACGATACAAAAAAGACGATCTGAATCTGTTGGTAGCTGAATTTCGACTTCAGCGCATCTGAAGACTTTTCTAATTAAAGATACGAAGCTGAGATTAAGTTGGTATATCTATAAGTAGCTGACGACCTCTATGTAAGTAAACAGCAAAATGTCAAGACTTACGGTAGGTACTTCACAAAATAAGCTCTAACAATATCAATATAAATAGAGTAATAAATAGAGAAATACGTTTAAGAACTATTCTAGAATTAAGCTGAGCTAGTCTAGGAGTAACTACAATATAGCACGCTATTCATGTCCGAGTCGGCCTAGTTGGTGTTACTTGAACAACGGCATGCTGTAACTAAAAGGAATCTTGTATAACAAACAAGTCTAGCTCGATAAGTACATGATAAAAAAGAGCCGAAACTTTTCAAAGGTAACTATCATGATATATACGTTATAAAAGAGTTGAACTCTATAGTCAAGTCAATTACATAGGTAGTTAGTATGTTTAAGCTTAATAGTATATTCCAACATTTCCAATACCATGCTGGATGTGTTGACGGGTTGACGATATCTTTCCTTTCTTCAGCCAAATTGCAGGACCGCCGTCTTAATCAAACTATTTATTAAGATATAAATATTTCAGATCTATTGATTGATCCCCCCTTGTCGTGGGCCCAAGATCTAAACTCCAATGTAGATCAACCCAAACCCAACGAATAGGTTGCTTAATTACCGTTCGTCTTTTGCTTCGTCAATCACCGGGCACCAATCGTGTTGAAGCGCCTAACTAACATGACCTTGCTAGACTGCCAGGGCGCAATGCCCTCCTTGACTAATACTACTCAAACAAGATGGGTTAGTATTAGGTATAGATGTGAAAAAGAGGCCCAAACACGCGTCACCTGCCCATCATTAGCAGCATGGGGGCGCCATCAACCCATCTCAGTTCGTCACTAGTTCTGATCTATGCTTGTGTTTCTCTCCGCATCAGCACAGATTTCTCGAATCTACAGGCGACCACTGATGCATCCGGGTAAATGAGGCGTGCTATGCTCTCACTTATCACTTTCGTTATGTGGGGGTTTTCGGAAAACTTGAAGATCTGGATCTGTTAACCTGAACGGTACATTATTATATGTACAACGATCGAGCTTTGGGTAGTTAGGTACTTCCATCTGTAGGTTCGCGTAAAGCTGAGGAGGTTACAAGGATGACCCCGAGAAGGCTGGCATGCTAGTTTATACACCTTATTGATGAATAGGACTTTCATCCTAGTCGAGCCTCCTAGGTTGCCTTCTCAATATCTCTGAAGGCAAACCTACAAGCCACAGAGTATCAGCTACCAATGTAGAGCAAGGAGCATTTACCTATACATAACTGAGATGTACTGCATGTATTTAATAAGGTCGTATCGTGACCGTGAAATTACCTAATTCATCTGCATGGCATTTGCATAGTATTAGATACATGCCCATATTCGAATGTACCCTCACGCCGCAGAGAAGGTTCAGAATGGAAATATCAGGTGCTGGTGTGAAGATGCGAGTACGTGCGTCTCCCCTGAACGTCGTCAGTGTGATGAATG